ATAGAAATTTATTGAAAACAATTCTAAACCATGCTATGTTTGGATTTCCTTTCTCTCTATAAAAGCCTCACAATCTCTCTAAAACTATCGAGAACTAAATTTCATCGATTTTGGTTATCTAATAATAAAACTTAATTATCGCACTTGTTCATTCATCCACGAATTTACTTACGTCAACAAATGAAGCGTAAACTCCATCATCTGAATATCTTCCTGATTTGGCTCATTGCTTAATCGTGCTGTTTCAACGGCTTTTCTGAAATGTAGTATAGCTTGACCCCATGCTTTGCCTTCCAAATAGCAAGAAGCCAAACCGAAATATTTCCAGCTGATTGTTTGATAATTCGTAGGTGTATGTTTTAGTAGCATATCTAGAGCCATTTGGTTTGCTTCTATAGCTGCCGACACTTCACCGATTACTGATAAACATGTGGCAAGTGTACTGTACATATCAATAAAGATGAAATGATCTTTGTGCTCGAGCAACAGAACTTGTAAACCATGTATTGCTTTACTTTCGTAGAGAATTGCAAGCTGAAATTCCATTCGCCTGAAATGATAACTAGCTATTATTTTATATCGATATATATCAAGAAATTGACGCCGTGGTAAATCAATGATAGCCTGTTGACAATGAAGAGGTATTTCATTTAGAATTTGTTTGAACAGTCTTGTTTCATCGGGTGTAAGAGGAGAGGATGCATTTAAATTGTACGAAGTTGATAAACCGTTGTCTGAAGAGCTCTCACAACAACCCATTTTAAGATAATTTACAATGATTCTTGTTGTTTCGCCTTTTTATATAAAAAAGATATCTTTTCTCTTGTCAGTTAACTTAACATTAAAAAGATATTTAGTATTGAATATATCAAAAACATCTCGTAATTATATCAAGGTAGAAGATCGGAGAGTAAGAGTAACAGACAATTGTTAATTATGACAAAACTCATACACCCTTACCGTGACAAACTTCACGTTTTCTGGTTCTATTTTACTTTTTATTAATCTTCATGTGCCATAAAAATCATGAAAGCAATCCGCTCTTTCTCTTTGCCGTGTGTTGATTGTTATTCATAATATAGTAGTTGACAATATCTCGACAGGTAGTCAAACTGTTTGCGCAATAATCTCTGTAAGCTGATAGCTCACAATAAAATAATGTGCCATCATGTTTGGTGATATAAAACAAGCTCAAAACTATGTTAATAGATCTTCTACTTTCTCATAAAACGTCGCCGAATAACTGAAATATATTTTTTAATGTGTTTTCTTGCATACGTCAGTCTATCTTGGATGAAAGATAATAAGTTTAACAGATTCAATGGTTTTTGAAGTAATTTCATAGTAGCAGTTCAGTGAGGTGGAAGAGCTTTGTTATCAAAACTAAATTTTTGATGTGAACGAAATAGTATGAGGAGTGCTTGATGTGAATTATCTTATACCTACACCCACACCCTCACTCTTTTCAGCTAAAAGGTACTATTAAGTACTTATTAAAGTAGAAATAGTACGAGAAAGTACTTTCTAAAGTGACAAACAGTGGAGATAATGACTTTATTTTGCTTAATTGATATTAAAAACACTTAAAAGTGGTCATTTATTCCTTTGAGAGTGTAGGTGTGGATGCGTGTGGGTGTGATTGCGATGCCTTTGTTCATGAATATCCACCCACACCCACACTCACACCCTTACACTCACATCCTTCGAAGTGATAAATCAGTTGTAGCAAATGCATATTAATTTTCGGTATTTGGATCAAACATCATCTGAGTCCCTTCGTTAAGTATGTTTGATTGATACTATACACTCATATTGAGCTACAGAAGCATTTATTGAAAAAAAACTGTACGTTTGCTTTTAAAGAAGCAGATCGAGAAGAAAAAAGAATGTGAAAAGAAAAGACAGGAATGCGTGTAAATTCGGAAAGAAGAAAAATGAGATTATTGTTTTTGAAAGAACTAACGACGAGCTGTCGTCGTATACATTATCTCAATTTCGGAATTTTTAACGAACACTGACATTTTTGAGTAGGGGGGAGAATAGCTTAAGAAAGCATAAAAATCCAATACTAGTTCCTTGCAACGGTTCCTATGATGCATTGTTAGATTTTGTGCCATTTATTACAAATACGCGGACGCCCAAGTCGTCAAGCATCATACCCCTGTCATGATAACCAATCTTAGCTGTTTTCAAGGCTGCAACTAAGTTGGGATGTTCATCCAAATGATCGATAATGTGTGTCAGGGCTGCTTCGATAACCGTTGGACTGAGCTGGCTTTCATTCATCACATTACGTTTGAAACCGAAGGTTTTGAAAGAGTAACTCATATCACCGTCTGCTGCCATGCGTAGTTGTCCAGTGGATAGATTTGTCACTAGTTTGTCTTCCACCTCATCAATGATTTTTGAAGTGAGAAGTGTCATCGTCTGCGGATCTGGTTGTCGATAGCATTCGTAGGGGTCAACTCTGAAGGGTGAATTTATACGTATGTTTGCTGTAACCGTATATTGCGTCGCAAAACGCCTTTCCAAGCTGTAGTCGTCGAACTCTGTGAGACGGCAAGGATGTGTTGGTAATGAAGAAGCAAATCGAGGTGGACATACTTCATCGTCCTTTGGCAGACTATTTTGAATATTTGGTGTCGTGATAGTAGAAGTCTTAGCATGACAGCAACCCATGGCGTGGCACCGAGATCGCTTGGTCCTATTTAGAGCTCAGTTATAATATGTGCTCTCTGTTTCTACACAATGCAGAAATAGGAATATATGACTTTCTCTTTTTTTTCTCAGAAATATCAATATTGGACTAGTCTCTTGTGATTATATTTCATGACTAGATCACGAGAAAAACTTAATATATTATTAGTGAGGTATGCCACATCCGCATATACCCATATCATCTTCAAATATTGATCATGCTATATTGTTGCACATTTGGTATGCTTGTTCTCTGTAATTAATACGTCCTGCAGAGTTAGGAATAATGTCTTATCAAGAAAGGATCGCAGTAACTGCGAAGAATGATGAAATATTAATTAATGATATAGGCTGAATATTTTATGAATTGAATAATTGAATTGAATCTTTTCTTTTATCCCTTTCGATTCTATCGAAATTTATTCATTCAGGATTATTGACACTAATATATTAAGAGATTTCAATCATTTATTTCAAAATATATTAGTATTATCTAATTTTTCTTTATTAATTATTATTTGGATATAAGTATTATGTTCAGAATATAAATCATTTCTGCCAATAGACGAAGAATCTCGTTACGTGTAAATTTATCTATTGAAACAGAGCAACTATTAGAAAAATAAAATTAACTGTTCAGACCATACTGGATAATATTCCGGTGAGTGTTGGATACGAAATCTAAACAAAAAAGGATTTCGTATTCATTGCAAAGTAGAAGATCTTTTTTTGTTTTCAACATATCTCTTTAGTTATTCGTCATATTATCTCTTTTACGTTCTTCCATTTTACACTATCTTGTTATCATTATTTTTTATTTCTCTTTGTTTTTCTTTTTTATAATAGTTTCATATATATTTCATTTTTTTATATACTGATAAACTCACAAATGTGAATTAATGACTTTTTTCCAACTTAATGTCTCTTGGGAAAAAATTCATTTGATAAAGAATTATTTCATTTTAGAAATTAATAATGGAGAGTGAAATTTACAAAGCATGCCGATATAATGATATTAATTATGTTCAAGCATTAATTGAAACATCTCCAAATGATACAGATATCAATCGATTAGAATCAAATGGAGATACTGCTTTACATTTTGTTTGTAGTAAAGGTTATGCAAATATTGCTCGACTTCTTTTAAATGATCATCGAGTTGACCGACACCGAACAAATAGAAATGGTCAAACAGCTTATGAAATTGCATCGACAGAAGAAATTCGTCAACTTTTTTCTCGAGATAGGCATTCTGATAATCCATTTTGTACTAATCAGACTACATTAAATCCATTAGAAGTTTTTACTAATGAAGACAATTCGTCAGATTCACGTTATACAACTTTTTATCCTTCTCAAGACCCGATAAAGAAAGAGTGTCTTTACAGAGTTTACAAGGAAGATTATAATACAATGACTCTTCCAATAATTAATCAATTAAGACGTTTCTTTGGAAATGATCCTGAGAAGAACAAAATTGATAAATGGGTCAAAAATCTACAAAAACATATTGAACAATGTTTTATCGTACAAAATTATGAATTGAATTCTACAATTTATTTAAATGCATATAAATGTATTGAAGATTATTATAAAACAAAAAATATTGAATATCTTTTGAAACTTTATACATTACATACATTGATATGTCAATATTTTTCACAAAATTCAATCAAAATAGATTATCTTTATGCACCAATTTGTTTTCATTTATCAAATCTTAGCGAACGTGCTTATAAAGGACGTTGTTTTCGTGGATTAACTATGAAAGAAAATGAATTTAAAAAATATAAACAAGCATTTGATTCCAAAGAATCGTATATAAAAACAAATACTTTTTGTTCAACATCAATTGATCTAGCAGTAGCTGAAATGTTTACTAAGACTAATAATATACGAGGAACAATCAATGTTATTATAATGTTCGATTTCGTGAGATCATGTTCAACAGCTATAGTTCTTTTTTCATCTTCTTCGCAATTAAAATGTATCTCATATTTTGAAGATGAAAAAGAAGTACTTATTCTTCCCGGAACGATCTTTTTGGTGAAAAATATTCAAAAAGATAACCAAGCTCAGTTCACAATAATCCATCTTGAAAAATTTGATACAACTGAAATGGAGAATGAATCGTATAAAGAAAGATTTCGAAACTATTTCGATAATATGTTCACTGATCTTTAATTTTGTTTTCATTAAAATATTTTTTCTTCTAATTATTTATATAAAATCACAATGATTTCATTATGTGCATAAATGACACAAGGCATTATCATATTGAAAGACATTGACAGTTCTTCTTACTATTCATCACATATATCATTTTGATTAAAAAAATATTCTGATTTGTTTAATAAAAAATAAAGCTTCAATCAAAATACTCTAAATATTTGACTGTCCGTGATAGATACTGATTGTTTTGACCCAAAATTTGCTATTTATTAGTTAAATTTGAATATATTTTTTACGAAAAACATCAGTAAAGCAGTTCCATAAAATCGTATAGACGAAAAACATTTTTCTTTTTCGTTTTGGTTGACTATTGATGAAAATTAATATTAGATGAAAACAGGTGTGGATGTGAATGAGGGTGTGCGTATGGGTATACGTGTGGAGTCATTTTCATTATCTCCATCTACGCTCATACTCACACCCACACCCTCAAGATACATCTGTTGCAGTAAGAAGGATCTTTTAAATGTATAAAAATAATCAAAAACATGATAAATCAATACACATACAAATTGAGTTATGGAATACAGTTTTATTTAATACATTTATTAATCAGATTCTGTATGGTGTAATATGCCACCTGCTTCATCTCTTTTGTTTGGACGCCAAGCAGATAAAGATCGGACAAAGTCTGTTGTTCCAGTATTTCCCCACTGAATCCAACCCCACCCAGTTTTTTCGTCTAACATAGCACGTCGAACACGAGCTCGAAATTCTTTTGCAAAATCTTTTGTTTCCCATATTGCTGATAAATTTAACATTTTAAAAATTTTATCTATTATAATGTCAGGTAATCCTTGATCATTCCATTGTTTAAATATTTGAATAAGAAAATCTTTCGGAGCATAAACAATTTCATTTGGTGAAATTTCAATTGGTTGTTCAGGATCAACAATAAAAAAGTTTAGAAATGTGCGACGACGTCCATCTTCATGTGTTAAATTTCGAATTTGTTGAAAACGATGTGGAATTCAATTAGAAAAAACAACAGCTGTACCTGTTTTTATTGATGATACATAATGGTTCATTTCAATGCCATCGGCATACGATTTATTTGGTCCAACTTTTGGACGAAATTTTAAAGAACCACCTTCAAGTTGATCATCAATATCTAAATAATAAACTCCAACAGCAACAATATTTTCTGTTTGACCTTCAGTATGCCATCGACCAGAATATTTCATACCTGATTTTAAATTATAACTTTGAGCTTTAACAATAACTTGTAATTTTTGTTCTTCATTTGAACTAAGTTTAATTAATTTCATTTGTTCAAACATTGGTAACATAGCTTGAAAGATTTTTGCAATATCATCGTAACTTTGTCGATATTCAGGTAATTCAGGTAGATGAATAATCGGTGTTCGAATGTCGACTTTCCCGTTTTTATCAATAACAAATTCTGATGGTAACCATTGATATGTATCACGTAATTTCTCATGTTCAGATAAATCATCATATCCACCACGAGCTAAATCTCTCTTAAAACGATCTTCTCTACGCGGAGAATGTCTTCGTCGTCTTTGTTGTCGTTCAATCCATTTATTTCTATCAAATGTTGATGGTGGTCGGTATGGAAGTAAATCTGGATCAATTATATCCTCAACCGGTGATGGATTTGGATGAAAATCTTGACGTTCTTCATTGAGTTTATATAATACATTTAAAAGTCTTTCTCGACATGACTGTTTAACTGGTAAATTTTCATGAATCCATACTGGAAAGATAAGAAAAACACCGCCACCATCACCAAAGTATGTTTGTCGATCACCATGTAATCGATAAAAATCAGGTTTATCAATTGTTATTTCATCGATTGATTCGTTTGGATCAAATAATCAATCATCATTCCAATTAATCCATTTACAAACCCAACATGATTTCATTCGTTTTTCTGTATACTTCTCATACATATAATCAGAACACTTATCTACTTCAACTTCTCGTTCATTTAACCAAACACGAACACGTTTACACGGTTCCAAGTCCACTAAGAACATCTGACAAGGATATTTTTCAATAGGATAAGTTTCACGATGACAATCAGACGAAGAAAGTTCATTTAAAGTTTCTTCATCATCTAAATGGATTGTAATCCATTTGTTAAGATAATCGAATAAAAGATCGTCGTTAACAGAAATAAGAGGATGTTGATCAGCATTGGTGGATGATGTTGATGTAGCCATGAAAAAAAACGAAGAAAATGTTTTGCAATGACTAGAGAAAAAATATTATTTTACATTTTTATATGTCCTACGAAATTACATTGTGTATTGTACATGAATCAAACAAGGTCATATTATTATACATGAAATTACAAGAGGGTATGGGTGTCTCTGGGTGTGAATAACTGAGTGACGTGATACGTAAACTAATACCCACATCGTCACTCACTAGTGACGTAACCAGGATTTTGCCCTAGGGGAGCTAAGCTTCATAGTTTTTTAATCAAGAGCGTCTAACAGAATCTTGTCGAATGAACAGATACTATGTGCGTAAAAGTTTTTAAGGCGCAACATTAATATGATTCAATAACCGTTCCTTCCTTTCTTTTCGGAGAGTAAAGTGAAAAAGTCATTCGTAGTGTGAAGTCAATTTACTTCAAAATGATAAAAATTATAATATAAGGAGTTTTCCATCGATTAGTCATTTTCGACTAACAAAAAAAGTTCTTAAACAAACATTTTGTTCACAAAGCAAGTCGTATAGACGATATTCAGAGTGTGAGTGTAGAGAAAGAAAAGATTCACATCTTCAATGATTTAAATGTAATACTTACTAGAATGAAATTGTTTGAATCGAATGATTTGCAAAAAAGCCTAATAGTTTGTGAATCTCGGATCGTTTTGTATGTGTATGACTGAATGTTCTATTCGCGGAATGATTCGTTTAGTTTGTTTTATAAGGTAACAATATTTGTAACTTTTTTCTTTTTTTTCTAACTACACATTTTATTGCAAAAGAATGTGCATAGATTGAAAAAGAACACATTTATGGTCCACAATATACAAGAAATGTTATTGCAAAGAAAGAGAAAAAGAATTCATATGGATTTAAGTGCTGTGCAATTAACCATTGTTGATACAAAACTATATTCTTCTTAATAGAAAATAAATATCTCTTTGAAAAACAAAAAAATATGATAAAATAGAGGAAGTTATGTTATTTATCTAAATACATTTCATCGACACCACATTGAGAGTGTGGATGTCTGATATATTCTTAATGCACTTGTACACTCACCCTCACCAGTACTCTGACTTTAGTCAAACTACTGCCTACAAAATAGTCTATCGGTGGAATACTTTCCTATAAAAAAAATCTTTTCTGCAAAGTGTATTGACTAATTATTGTAAAATAAAAGTCGTCTAAAGCAATGAGTAATTCTAAAGAATGAGTTTGGGGGTGTGGATGTGGTTAAAGTTACAGAAGACATCTACACCTACTCACACCCTCGTTCAGTCCGAATAAAAAATAACAAAATTCATTTATAGTATTCATTTATTTGAAATAATTTATATAATTCTGTATTATACGAAATTCTATCATCATTTTAAAAACCAATTAGCTTCCTTTTTTGCTTCTATTCTTGGGAATATTTAAGAGACAATATCGTATCAACAGCTGATTGATAAACTGCAAATCTTAACTTTTTTTCACTGGAATTCTACTAAGAAAGTATAGACAAATAGAAGAAAAAGATAAAACTGATAATTTCTGACACAATACCATTGGACTAATTTTGATACACACAGTTAAACTTACTTTCAACCTGTTTTATCAAAGAAAAATAGCGTATAAAAAAATCTTACAGAAAATATAAGATAGACACACATGTTTAATAATATTTAGCTTTATTCAATCAGGAATTGGCATTAATAATTTTTCCATAATTTCATCATCTGGTTCCAACCACAGAGCAAAATAACATGCATAAAATCGAATACATTGTTTTTCAATTTTTGTCCACGATTTCTCACTACTCGACAATTTATAACCCTGTGCAATTGCATCAACATATTTCCATTCTGCTTTCACAAACAACAAAAATCGTCCGATATCGTATAGACCATCGCCACAAAGACAATCAGCATAATCGATCACACCATTTAAATGTCCATTGAGAATACGAATATTTTCTGAAGCAAAATCACCATGAACAAGAACTGGATTGTTAAATTCAGTTAAATAAGGTATCATAGATAAATAAATTTCTTTCAATTGCTTCTGATTTTCATTTAGATTATTAAAGTCTGTTTCAAACATTTTCAACCATGATAAATAAACACCCACACCCGGTTGTTCACTCATATAGCCGAACTGTTTCATTTCGTTTGAATGTAACACACGTAGAAATTCACCTAATTCTTTACATATTTCAGGTGAGGATTCATTTAAATCTTGACCTAAATTAGATTGATTAGAAATAGATTCAAGATATATTAGAATAATTACCTGATATATAACTCTCGATTAAATAATTCTGTTGAGGATTTAATGCTAAAAGTTTTGGTGAAAATTGTTGATGTTTTAGTAATTCAAGTACCCATGCTTGATGTGCAAGTCGATGCATAGGAAAATAAGGCATTGAATTGTCATTCGAATTCAATTTAAATTCAGATGAAGTTTTTGATGAATCAAGTTTTAATGGTCTACGAAAAACAACGATGGTATTCGAACGAAATTGGACTAAATAAATAATATTGTCACAACCTAATTTTGATGGTGATCGAATATTTTCTATTGTTTCGTTTGGAAAATGAGAAGAGATAATTCCATATATTTCTTCGTTCTCATTCATTTTTGTCTTTTTCTGTAGTTCTATACAAAGTAAGATTGACGACAGATTCGAAGCAGCTTGAAGAATTGAAAAAGATAAGATTACTCAATATTTGCTAAGAGTGACGAAATTTTATATAGTCAATGCATGTCTTACGTATGCTGGTGAAAGACGAAGAAAAGGAATATTTGAGTGTAAATATGAATCATAGCTCTGAAAATTGTGATTGCACACTGTGCCTATAAGCACTCGAATATTCAAAATGTGAGAAAGCCAATGTATTTTTGTAAGAGAAGGACTCTTTAGCTACTATACATTATACAAAGTCTGTGGCTGTGAGTGTGAGTACTCTTCTCATTCAATACTTTTTTGTGTCAAGCGAGCAAGAGAAAAAGCAGCGTGGCTTCGATATTCTCTCCACAGTAGACTATTTGAGAGTAAATGTATGCGTCGTTAGTTTGTCCATGGTGGGGTGCAGAACGCAAAACTTTTCATGGTTAAAAATGTGGTAGCGCAAGCGTCTACTATAAAAACAACAGTCGACATACAATACTTTCGAAGTATTTCGCCACAGCTTTACAATCATGACATTCGAATATATCTCAAAATACATCTTGAGAGTGTGGATGTGGGTGGATGTAAGATAAAAACAGAACAGTTACACCTACGTCCACCTACACGTTTCACAACTGCCTTGAATTGTTATGAAAAGTTTTTTCATTAGTGTTATGAAATTTTTTTATTTAAACTACGAGAAAAAAAACTATGAATTATTGATTGTTGAATTGATTAGGATGCGCGATTTGATGATCAATATTAAGTTTCTGACGACGTTTTCTAATATTTTCAAGAATCGCTCTGCAAGCAGTTTGTTCTAACGTACTCGCATCATTATATAACCAAGCAGCCCAATCAAGTAATCCAGAGGCACTTTTCACGTTACCATTATTTTCATACTTTTTTGCTTCTTCTTCCAAATAATTAGCGATCTCATTAGTTAATCGAATAAGTAATTCTTCATCAAAATCAAACATAAGCACCTTCTCGATGTAATCTGTCGCCCAATCTATGTAGTCTTTTATTTTAGCACAATATATGAATATTGTAATAACACATGGAAAATCATATACTTGTGGTACTAATTCACGAGCCAAACGGCCTGAAGTTATAAGAAAAACAGCTTTACCAGCATCACGTTGTTCTTCAATAAACTTGACGGCTGACGCAGCATCAATAAAGGTATATAATGGATGTGTAACACGACGAAAACGTTCTTTCATTCTTTCATTGTCACCTACTTCACCAATAGATGGATCGACCCACATCACAACATGTTGATGAAGCGTGTCTGCATAAGTAACATTAAATGCCATTCTTTCTCGCGTCAGATGTTTTGTAAGAAACTTCCTCTATATTTTCGCTGAACGAATCTAGTCTAAAATTAACAAAACAAATGATTACATGCATTTCACGACTTTCGCGGAAACCCAGATCCGAAAGGTATAACAGTCTGAGTAGTTCAGGATGTGTAGGAGATAGATTCCCTTTGCGTGTGGATATATATCTTCTCTTTCTTCTTATTCACTTACCCTCAAGATGATTTTTGTCTTAACGGCGCGGTATCGTGTAGAGCGAAAAAAGAATAATAGCGACTGATGTTTAACTATAGTCATAAAATTTATATTTGCTTCTTTCTTCGTCCTGTTTGATGCGATGAATACGTCTAAACAACCATAAAAAGTTGAAGAGAATGATTTGCTATGACTAGAGAAAAACTATTATTTTACGTTTTTAAGTGTTGTGAAATTACATTCTGTGTTGCACGTGGCTCACACACACAAGTCATATTATTATACACAAAACTACAAAAGAGCGTGCGTGTGGATGACTAACTGATGTAATACATACGACCATATAAAAACAATTGATTGATATCACTAACGGCAATCATTTTTAAATGACTCGGTCTTGTGATATCTTATGGAGATTTCTTAGAGTGAATAGTAACACACAGCTCATAGTCGGTCGTCGACGTCCCTCTGATTCCCCATTCTCAACTGCTCATTTTTATACATAGTGTGAGTATATTTACAGGTATTCCCGCATGTATTTGTTGAGGAGATGTCTTAGTATAGAGAAACCATCTTTCATCTGTTACCGGTTTCTAACAGTATATCGGTTGACCGAATTCGATCGGTAGATAACTTTTGTATAGTTCCCAGTCAGCGCGAAAGGCATCAAACAGTTGTAAAAACTGGATGTGGGTGGGTGACCAAGAAGATTATTTACACACACATCCTAATAAATCAATTATTAATAACAATGTCGTAACTATAAGAATGATGATCTTATATCATCAGTTTTTATTCTAAAATAGTGTTGTGCATAACAGTAAATAGTATTTTATTAATATTTAAAGCTAGAAAATATTTTGACACAGTTAAAAAAATACAAAATCAGTATTTCATTGTTTTATATGATGATAACAATGAGTAACATTCGTACTTTTGTTAGCCACTTGTAATATTTCCTGTTAATGTGCTATTTGAGAGATTCGTGGTTAATGCATGAACATGAAATATAGGTGATAGTAAGACTATTGAGGCGAAAAAAATGACAAGAATACCAATAATTTTCGCACCAATACCGGCTTTAATTAAATCTTTAGTTTTCATATTACCACTTACAAATATCATTGCATTAGGTGGAGTAGCTAGAAAAAAACAAAATACAATTTAAATACATCTTATTTAAAAGATTAGAAAATTTACCAATGGGTAACATAAACGCTAATGAAACAGACATACAACATGGTAAAATAAGATAGGCTGGATGCATATTTGCAGTTCGCGCCTAAAAAAAATGAATCAAATAAATACGTAAAGATATATAAATTTCTTACAATACTATCTAAAATTGGAAACAATATTGTAGCAACAGCAAGATTACTTGTAAATTCAGTAAAGATAGCACTAATTAAAATAACAAAAAAAATGATGGCTGTTTGTGGTGCACCAACGATAAAATGAAGAAAAGCAGCAATAGTACTTGATAAATCTGATACCTAAAATAATTCTCATAGGTAAATTAAACTTCCTATTAACAAAAAATTTATACTTGAAAAGCCTGTGCAATTGCTAAACCTGCACCTTGTAACATGAATACACCCCAAGGAAATGATTTTGATAATAAATCCCATGTAAGAATAGGATGATATTCCCAGTCATCTAAAATAAATTAATTCTAATAAAAAAAAACGTAATTATTCAAATAATATTCTTACTATGAAATGGATTCTTATTGGGAAAAATCAATGGAATACAACCAATCAGTATCGCAGTCGTGCCATCTGTTACGTAACTAAAAAAGAAAAATAATTAAAAATATTAAAATACAATCAATTGTTTTACTTTGGTCGAAATAAAGCATCCCATCCACGAACACTTGAAAAATCACGTGTTATCCAAAGAAGGACTACGATGACGAATAGAACAGAAACAGTACCTTCTTGCCAACTCACTGGACCTAAGTCTTTATACTGTTGTTTGAGAAGAGTTTGTAAATCTCTTCGAGATTCAGTCTCATTCGCATTCGATCTTTTGCATCGGAATAATCTAAATCATATTTTTTGTATTATGAAAAAAACAAGTCAGTATATATAATTCTATCTTACCCTTTACGATTATATACAATCTGAAGCCATAACCAACAAAGAACAAGCATAATGATACCAATTGGTAAACCCCATAGAAGAAAATTAGCAAATGATATTTGAAGTATAATACTTCCACTAGAGTAGTATCTATTATTTAAAAAAAAACGATAAAATAGTATGATTCATTATTGATAATTTATCTTACTGATCAGCAAATCCTTTGACAAAAATATTTGGACCCGTTCCAACTAATGTCATCATACCACCAATGGCTGCACTGAAGGCCACAGCAATGAGAAAACCTTAAAATATCGATAATACTTTTATTTTATTATATTTAACTAAATTATTTATTACCAATTTTAACTTGTTCATAATTGACTTGATTTGTAGATGAAGTTTGTGCGATATTTTTAGTCTGATTGCTATGTGATGTCGTCCTACAAATGATATCAGTTAATTTTATTTAAGACATTCATTTTTAATAACAGTAAACTCACCCTGACGATATACTATTCGAAACAACAACGATCTTATCGAGTACAAAGGAATTTCCTGTTGATTGTTCATTCAAATCACTCTTGCTTTCGACAATATCTGTAAAGAAAAAAAAACATGAATCGATTATTTAGAAAACTACTCAACATACCATCTGTAACACTTTGATAATTATCATTTCCAGTAGTTGAAGCAGTTTTTTTTGTTGATTTTTCATAGTTTTGTAATTCATCAACAATAGCTACTACTGTTGGTATCATTATATTAGCCGAAGCTGAATTATTAATCCACATACTTAGAAAAGCAGTTACGACCATCAATCCTGCCATACTCCTATTCAAAAAAATGTATACGATATGAAAACAAATAACAATAGATATACCAAATAACCGAAGAACCAACATATCTTAGTACTAATAATGCCAATCGTCGATGTAAACCAACATGTTCCATAGCATAAGCTAAAATCATAATGCCGACAAACATTGTTGTAATATCCTTAGAAAAAAAAGTATTATTAAAACAAAAGGAGATATTATTGATTTACTTTGAAATAGTTCAAGCCTACTACATCACCAGTTAAGATGCCAGCTAAGGGAAAGAAAGCAAGTGGTAACAAAGAAGTCACAGCATAGGGCATTGCTTCGGATACCCAATAAACTGTAAGCAATAGTACAATATACGCACATCGTGCTTGCTAAAAAAGACAGTATATTCATATAAGAATTCATGAAAAATATATTTAGTACTTACAATTGTTTGAATAACAAGTGGTATTGGAAGTAGTATGAGTGGAGTAAGACAAATAACTAATACACGCCACCAAGATTTGATTAATTTTACAATATGAGAGAAATTTGTCATTGTCAAATTCTAATAATTAATGATTTATTTTTGTAATTTATCAAGTTCTGATATATCCTTGCTATCGGCTCGATTTCTTTTATAGAAGAAACTAACGGAGGCGTTTATCCATATCTTTCATGTTGGTGATATGTATATAATTATTCATTGTAAATAACATTTTATATTTATTATTTTCGGTACACCTTTGAGTCATCATCTTTTATGTATCGACGTAAATTACAATTTAATATATAGTACTGTATAAGTTCATGACTTTCATACGCATTCTATCAATAAAACATTACTCATAAGTAATTGCACTTGTGTTCTGCGTCTTAACCTCGAACGAGGTAACGATACATATATTTTCATTCTACACATCTTTGTAATTTATATGAATTGTACTATCATTAAAAATATTTAGTCTACTGATTCAATGTATTGATTATATATAAAATCTTCTTAGATTAATTAATTATAATCCTATACACTCAATATTTTTTTTCCACTCATCTTGTGTTCGTTGCATTTGAATAGAAATTAAATAGTATAATCGAAACTTTTTTAGGTAGGATCGTTTTTTTCTTTTAATTAAATATCGATATTCAATTGTCATTAGCAAAAATAAATGTATGAGTTAAAATAGTTTATTTTATTTTGAAAATAAAAAAAAGAACAGAAAAATTAATTTGAAGAGTTTGTTATTGAATTTCGATTTGATTTTTTGTTTTTGTAATTATTTTTATTGTGTATATGATCAATCGTATTTTTTTGCATCAAATCAAATGGAATATCAGGCATTTGTTGTACTTTAATGATAGCTTCTTCCCATTTTGAACAAATTAAATTATTGTTTTGTTCTTCTTCATTAATTCGACTATTTTGCTTCCCATTTGTCCGATAATTACATTGTCGAATTATAGGAGCATGAATAATTTTAGAAATTAAACTACGAGTACAACACTGCATGATTATTTTTTCAGGGTTCTGTTTATTGTTTGTTTGCCTTTCAGTTCTATATATATACACGTATGTACTTGATAGCAGGTACGTTTATTACTTTAAGAATCATGACATATTACGCTATTATATTTTCGGAGTATGTCATGAATATGACTCATTCACGTATTCAACGATTGTTATAATCCTATAAATAACATATTAGAAATTAATAAAGAATGAAAATGACTAACAATGGTTATTCAATACAGTTGTTGTTTTTTTCATATTGATGAAAAATTTCAATTGATAATATTTTTCAAAAACTAACAAAATAAATCGTATGATAAAATAATGCGCATAATATTTTCAAGCATAAATAATTTGCAAGCATTGACTGAAAATTATTACCCAGCAATCCGTTTTTTTTATTTCTATATATACAATTAAAATAACTAGAAGTCATGCATTAATTTAACGAAACTACAAAAAAAAATTTATCATTAATTAATCTAACTCAAAGTTCATATTTCTCTATGGTACCTATTTAAGCGCTAAGTAAAAATATATAACTACTAAGTTGATTTCTAATATATCTTTCAAATTTTTAATTATTGGGTAAATTTAGTGAATTTATCGGTAAAAAACATAAACTTGATACGTAAAAACAAATCCCGGGCAAGTCGTTATTTTTCGTTCATTCTCTGGTGTGCGTTTCTTTTTACACACATTACATATACTTGGCGTTTTTCAATATTTTTGCCTAGAAAACTAAATGCCTTCATTGAGAATTTATATAAATTACTTACAGTGTTGCCACCTTTTGAAGTGCAAAAAGCAGAAAAAAAACTATGAAAAGCAGAAAATGACAGAAATTTCACCATCAAAAAGCAGAAGAAAAGGCAGAAATCATGTTTCTTACGTAAACAGACTTTAACACTTATTTTAAGCGCTCACTCAAAAGCGAATCAGCACCTGAGAGTGGTCCCTTGTTAGATTTAACATAATAATCTAAAATTACAGATTTAGTTTGAATCTTTATTAACCCTTTAATTTTAAAATTTCACCTCATAGATGACATAAAGAACGCGAAAAGTATTATCCTCGTTCTGTCGTTTTGGAAGACGAATACCGTTTAGTGTTTAACCTAGTTATCACACGTGGTAGTTCTAATAGCAGTAGCCTTTTCTCGATTCTTATGTCTTAGAAATCACATTAGTTCAGATACAACTGATTGTATGCAATAGAGACTTTCGTGTTTTTCGTTTTTATGCACAACGCAAGAAACTGTTAGGACTGCAAGGGTTAAAGGGAAACAAGAAAAACAAGAGACCGCTAAAAAACAGAAGCTATATGTAATTGAAGTTAAACTAAAAGAAAATAGTAACATGAATGATTGTTGGTAAAAGTTTATCTTTTTAGACTGGAAAAATAATCGTTTAGATGGGAACTATTCATGACAAACATGAATAATCTAATATTTAAAAAAGCAGAAAAATCTTAAAAACCAGAAAGGACAGAAAGAAAGCAGAAAAATCCTCAAAAAGCGGAATTTTTCTGCTAAAAGCAGAAGAGGTGGCAACACTGATTACTTAGGTGTCTTTTTCTAGTATATAAAAGCAAGTAAAAAAAAATTCTTTCTTTTTTATTTGTCAAAGAGTATATTTTATTTTAAGACAAAAGCAATGGTGAATCTCTCTTTTATTCAACAAGAAATGATTCAATATGGTATGAGTATTTATTTTTCATTAGGTCTTGTGGGTAATATTTGTAATTGTATAATGTTTATACAACCAGTCTATCGTCGTACACCTAGTTCTATCTATTTTCTATCTCTTTCGATTTTTTCAATTATCTATTTGTTTTGGACAATTGTTCCACTATTTTATACACTCGATCATATTGATCCTCATACTCAATCATCATTTTATTGTAAAATACAACTTTATGGTACACATGTACTTAATCAATGTATTCGCTATATTGTCGTATTTGCTTGTGCAGATCGTTTCTTTGTTACACAAACAAATCTTCGAATTCGTTCATTAAATTCAAGACAAGTTGCAATGAAACTTGTTTTTATAATATGTCCAGTATCACTCGTAATTGCTATACATGTACCTATTTTAATGAATATCAGTGGTAATGTATGTGGAAGATTTGGTTTATATAAATTAATTTATGCAATTTATCAAATTATAATAATTAGTATTTTACCATTGATATTAATGAGTATTTTTGGTATTCTTACTATTCGTAGTCTTTATCAACGTCATGTTAATCAAGTACGAGCTAAACAAAGAGATCGAGATTTTATGCATCTGACTATTGCTGAAGTTATTGTACATGTATTTACATCGATTCCTTATTCAATTTATCTGATTTATAATGCAGTAACATATTCCATTGTCATTGAAAATAGTCCACGAGATGAAATTGAAGAATTTATTTTTTTTGGTACTCAATTTATTACGTATCTTACAAGTGTTGTTTCTTTTTACGTATTTATTTCAACATCAAAACCATTTCGAAATGAATTTATCAATTTACTCGTTAAATGTCGAAACAAATATAGATTACGACGAATTGTTCCATTAAATGAGCAAAACAATCATCGATTGAATCCTAACAGACAATAAAACTGAACTGATTTTTTTTTCGAAAATAAAATAACTGAATTCACACATCTTCTTTATTTTCATTTGAATAATCAATCGTCAATAGATATGAAGCCATCTACTTATACTCTCAAGAGAACTACACCAGCTGCTATTTATTCTATTCCCTTATCGATCATTTACGCGAAAAATAATTCAACAACAGACATAACCTCAAAGTAGTTCTTTGAACTCTCCGATGGTGTTGATTCTAATATGTAATGTAAAAAAACACGTGGTCGATTTATTTTTGTAGATGACAACGACGAGAATGTACTTGCGTTTTTTTATTCTTCACGTAAAGTGGTACTTTTTTTTTAATGTATATTTGTATTAACATATTTTTTTTTCTTCCTTCCAACCCTCGTTATTTTTCTTGGATGAGAATCGTTACTAAAGGAAAGAGGAAGGTAAGAAGAAAAAAAAATAAAAAAGTGCGGCTTCATGTATACTCGATAAAAGTATACCTTCTTTTACTTTTGATTACTCACATGGGCGTGTAAGTATATTTTATCTCCAGTTACTTTATTTTTTTACTACTCATCATATGTTAAATTATAGAAAATAAAAATTTTTAACTTCATATATGATTCGTTTGTGTGAAACACCATTGTGGGTATGTATATTGATATTAATCGATTTTATTATTTAATATATTCGTTAGGATAAAAATATAACTAAAGCATCATATCCATATTTAACTGAATGTTTTCGAAATACGATCTTACAATGGGTACCTATGGGTATCTTCTGGTTGGTTTTACCATTATGGATTTATATGTTAATCAGAGAGCGAATTAAATCACAACCTATCCCAATATCTGGTCTATTCATTACTAAAATGGTAAATATTTTAATCATTGATATATATAAATTATATTATTATTATAGATCCTCGCCGTTCAATTTCTTCTTATTCAAATCTTTCGTATTATTCACTATGCAGTATTATCAACAGAACAAAATGGTCAAGCTATTATTCTGACTTCAGTTCTGTATATAATCACAGCATTGACTATTCTTTGGTTAATGAATTATGATCGATTGAAAAGTATATATGCTTCAGGTTTACTTTTTGTTTTTTGGTTATTAGTATCTCTTGCTATTGTACCGGATATCATTGATTATTCTATCAAAGTTCAACAACAAGTTAGTTATCTCTATGAAAAAGTTCTCATCGATAACAAATCTACTGTTTAGATTGGATCAAAGAAATTATGGATAAAATCTGTTAGTATTTGGATTCATTTTATTCTTGCATTAGGATCATTTATTGCTAATTGTTTTGCTGAAAAATATATTCCCATTGAAACAGTATCTGATAAAATGGTATAATCAAACGTTTTCTTTTCATTCGAAAAATATTTACGAGTGCCATTTTATATAGCCTATTGTTCCTGAATTATATGTTAATTTTTTATCACGAATCTTTTGTACATGGGTAACACCATTAATTGTTCGAGGTTATAAGACGCCACTTACAGAAAATGATTGTTGGCAATTACCAATCTCAGAACAAACTGTTACAGTTGCTCATCAAGTACAAAATTGTATGAAAGGGTACGAATTTTTCCTATTATTATCATTTTTTATCTATGTTAATATAGAATGAATATGCAAACAACAAGTATGTCATACGAGAATATATCGACTGCGAATCAAATTAAAGATGAGAATCGGAATTTAGTGAGTGATTTCATATTTTATGTATACGTTTAATCATCTTTCATTTAGCTCAATGATTTGGTAAGTGATTATATCTGTTTGTTTGTTTTTCTATTTCTCAATCTATGTAAAGCCAATGGTTGATATAAAGAAACATGAGAAGAAAACTGTTTTTTGGCGTGCACTTTTCGGTGCATTTATTGATAAGATTATTTCCGGTGGTCTCATAAAATTTGTTCATGATCTATTTCAATTAACGGGTCCTTTAGTTTTAAAGTAAGATTTTAAAATTTTTATTCATTTACGGATAATTCTATATTTTAGACTTTTTCTAAATTTTTTTACTGATCCAACAAAACCAAAATGGTTAGGTATTTTCTATGCCGTATTAATAAGTACAATGGTCTTTTGTCAAGTCATATTTTTACGAGCTTATTTTCATTGTCAATTTCTTGTTGGACTTCGATTCCGTTCAGCAATTACTGGACTTGTATATCGCAAGGTTAAACATTCTTATGAACTATTTTCTTATTTATTCGTTATTCTAGAGTTTAAAATTATCAAACTCATCCAGACATGCATCAACTACTGGCGAAATTATTAATTTAGTTCGTATATAAACTTTACATTTCTTTATTGTATCTTTGAATAAATAGATGTCAATTGATGCTTCACATTTTGCTGATATTACTACACAACTTCATATGTTATGGTCAGGTAAGAAATAGTTATATACCCTCTTGAGGGTCTGGGTGTCGTTTTTTTGATCTAAAGAACACTCACATCTTCAAGATATTTATTATTGTAGCTCCATTTCAAATTCTTGTGATTCTTGTTTTACTCTATCAACAAATGCAATTAGCAATAATACCTGGTGTTGCATTATTACTTATTATGATTCCAGTAAATTTATTTATACAGAGAATTCAAAAACAACTTACGGTATGTATGTATAATTTGAATATATTTAATTTTTGCAGTTTTTTTTTCGAAATAGTCTAAACAAATGACAGTTAAAGATGAACGAATTAAAATGATGAATGAAATACTTAATGGAATTCGAGTTTTAAAATTATATGGATGGGAACCGGCATTTATACGTTTAATTTCTCGTATTCGACAAAACGAACTTGGATATATACGTCAACAAGCTATTATTGGTGCTATTTCAAGTATTCTTTGGACATTTACACCAATTCTAGTAAGTAAAATAAAGAAAATTCTTGATTATAAACTATTTATTTGTTAAGGTCAGCATAACTACATTCGCTACATATGTTCTTTTATCGGATTCGAATATTTTAACTGCTGAGAAAGCATTCGTATCATTAGCATTATTCAATCTACTCCGTGGTCCACTTGTTTCATTTCCAAATATGATCAATAGTGTTGCTCAAGTAAGTTGACAGATTTTCTATTGTAATAATGATTATTTTTGTTTAGGCCGGTGTATCAAGTGAACGAATTGGAAAGTTTCTAACCAATGATGAAGTTGATAAATATGCTGTTGATAAAATACCGATTGAATTATCCAATGGAAATGCTATTAATATTGAAAATGGATCTTTTCGTTGGTCAACTCTTGTTGATGATCATTTAGTTTTAAAAAAGTTTTTCTTCGATAAACATTTATTTATTTTTATATATAATTCTTGATTTCCTCTCTAGTATAAATGTACAAATTCATCATGGTTCACTTGTTGCACTTGTTGGTATGGTAGGATCTGGTAAGAGTAGTATATTATCAGCACTTCTTGGAGAAATGATTAAAGTTGATGGGCACGTTCGTATAAGTGGAAACATTGCTTATGTTCCTCAGACAGCATGGATATTAAATGCAACACTTAAAGAAAATATTCTATTTGGAAAAGATTTTGATAAGAAACTCTACGATCAAGTCATTGAAGCATGTGCTTTAAAACAAGATCTTGGTATAAACAAAACAAAACTTCGAAAATATATTAAAATTTTTTTTATAGTTATGCTTCCGGCAAGAGATGAAACAGAAATTGGTGAAAAGGTATAATAGATTCACAATCGAAAAATCAATTTTTTTATTACAAATTTGAGAATGTTGTGAATTTTTAGGGTATTAATTTATCCGGTGGACAACGACAACGAGTTTCATTAGCTCGAGCATTGTATAGTAATGCTGATATCTATTTACTTGATGATCCGTTATCGGCTGTTGACGCTCATGTAGGTGCTCATATTTTCAGACATGTTATTGGATCAAAAGGATTATTAAATGGCAAAGTAAAAAAAAGATATTCGAAAAAAATTAATGTTATTGTATTTGTCTAGACAAGAATTTTAGTTACACATGGTGTATCTCATTTACATAAATGTGATGATATTATTGTTATTTCCCAATGTGAAATTATTGATCATGGTTTATATAGTGATTTAATAAAACGAAGCAATATATTACGTGAATTCATTCATTCAAGTAATCTTTCTAATAAAGATCAACATGAAACAAATGATGAACGTCGACAAAGTATTTCAACACCTCCAATAGAAATAGTTACTAATCCACTTGAAATTATTGAAAATAAAGAACCAGAACCGATTCAAGAAGAAAAGAAAAAACTTATTCAAAAAGAAACTGTACAAACTGGTTCTGTAAGTTTTAGATCTATTATATTGTTAAAAATAAATGAAATTAAAATAGGTAACATTTCGTATATTTTGGATTTATATTCGTGCATGTAAATTACCAATGATTATATTAATCACGATATTTTTCTGTTTAACAACATTCACTACTCTATGTACAAATATTTGGCTTTCGAAATGGACTGATAAATCAACAAGAAATGATACATCATCCATATTGAATAATCGAATTCATGATTTAACTATTTATTCAATACTGGGTCTTGCACAAGGTAAGGGATATAGGTAAAAGGCTAAGAGTGATAGTGAGGGTGAGGGCGAGTGTCGTATAGGATTCAAGTGTTAGTCTATTTGAGACCTCCAGAATTCTTATAGACAATGAGATTTTAACTGAAGCTCAGGTTTCCCGCTATTATTCACTCTCACCCTCAGTCTTAACCATTTACCTATTTCCCTTACTGGTTTTTAATCAAGTTTTATAGTCGAAACAAACAATATTCCAATTTTATCTGGTCAACTTTCGAATTTGACCAAATTTTAATCTTGACCCTAACTTATATATATTTCGATAATCTTTTTTATTCAGGTTTTCTTGCATTTATTATGCAATTAATTTTAAAACTTGCTGCATATATTGCTGGTCGAAAACTTCATTGGATTGTTCTAATTGGAGTACTCCGTGCACCTATGTCATTTTTTGATACAACACCTATCGGTCGTATCATTAATCGTTTTGCTAAAGAAATTGATTCTGTAGATACGGCATTGCCCAATGCATTTTCACAATCACTTACTGTATTAATTACTGTTGTTGCAACATTAGTCATACTTATCTATGGATCATGGTTTGCTATATTTGTACTCGTACCACTTGCTATTCTTTTTGCTTATATTCAAGTAAAATTAATTTTTATGAAAGATATTTTCTATTTTTATATCTATAAAAGCGTATGTATGTGTCATCATCTCGACAACTTCGTCGTCTTGATTCAGTTACACGTAGTTCAATTTATGCAAATTTTGGTGAAACAATTCAAGGTCTTAGTTCAATTCGAGCTTATCATGTACAACAACGTTTTATTGATATGTCCGATAAATTTATGGATAGAAATCAATCATGTCAATTTGCTAGTTCAGTTGCTAATAGGTTTGAAATTTATATTTCATAAATTAATTATTTTTATTGATTATTAGATGGCTTGGTGTTCGATTAGAAATGATTGCTAGTCTGATTATATTATTTACAGCAGTGGCTTCTGTATTTATACGTGATCATTTAACAGCTGGGACTGTTGGTTTAATGATTACTTATGCTTTACAAATTACAAATTCACTTAATTTACTTGTACGTATGTCAAGTGAAATTGAAACAAATATTGTTAGTGTTGAACGTATCAATGAGTATGCAGAGCTTGATTCTGAAGCTCCATGGGAAATTCTAGAAAAAAAACCATCACCACATTGGCCTACCAATGGAAGTATTCAGTATGTTAATTATTATAGAATATGTATCTTCTGACATTCATATTTTCTAGAATTAAAGATCTATCAACACGATATAGAGAAAATTTACAATTAGTACTTAAAAATATAACTGTTAATATTGAGCATGGAGACAAGGTAATATGAATAGTTGAAATTGATGATATTGAAATTAAGTTTAGATTGGAATCATCGGTCGAACGGGTAGTGGAAAGAGTAGTTTGTGTTTAGCATTCTTTCGTATTATCGAACCGACTACGGGTACAATAATTATTGATAATGTTGATATTCGTTCTATTGGTTTACATGATTTACGATCAAAGATCACTATTATTCCACAAGTAAATCTCATTTTTTATATTTATATAACTGAATTAATTCTTTAGGACGCGATTATTTTTGCTGGTACGATAAGATTTAATGTCGATCCATTTGGTAATTATAGTGATGCAGAAATTTGGACTGCATTACAATTAGTACATATGAAAGAACGTATAAATTTGATGAAAAATGGTTTATCCTATCTTCTGGCAGAAGGTGGTCAAAATATGAGGTAATATAAACGATTTGAGCCCTTTAATGTTATCATTTTTGTTCTAGTGCTGGTGAGAGACAATTATTGTGTTTAGCACGAGCCCTTTTAAGAAAAAGTCAAATAATCATACTCGATGAAGCAACCGCTGGTAAATGTTTTTTTTATTACTATTCATTTGTTACCTTATTTATCTTAGCTATTGACATGGAAACAGATCGTCTTATTCAACTTACTATTCGATCAGCATTCAAAAATGCAACTGTAATTACGATTGCTCATCGATTACATACAATTTTAGATAGTACTAAGTATACTTTACTTTACTTATTGTTTGAAAATCATTGATTTCTCTCTTATTTACTAAGAATTCTGGTCTTGTCCGATGGCTCTGTACAAGAATATGATGAACCGATACGTTTAGTGGCAAATCCAAATTCAGCATTTACTAAGCTATTACACGATGCAAATATTCATCCATCGGATATCACTTCAGCTCTTACGTCTCAACAATTAAATACATTTTCATAAAAACATACACACGACAAATAGTTTCAACTAATTTCTATCCTTGTTTTTTTTTGAAGAAAGAAATTGTTCATAGCATATCTAGAATAAATATCAAACTTAATAATGTATAGCAAGAACTGAGCATAAACATTTCACTTTTTCTATAGAGGTATTCAAATTCCTAATCGATGTACTGGCTAACTAGACGAATATAGTATAAAAATAGTTTTTTTTAGTAGAGGAAATATAGTACCAATTCCATCTATAAGAATATTTAAAATGCATCACTCATTCGTTTATTTTCTATACCCTGTCCCTGCATTCCTTAGAATACATCAATGATCTGTACCTTATCTTATATCTGCTCCAAATTTTTTTTCTCTGCTATTTGCCGTTGTATTTTATCTTCTTCTAATTTTTGTCCTTCAATGAATCATTTTTTTTTGTCGTTCTCCACTCTCGTTGTAGATATGCCGAACGCTTGAGTCAATAACTTACTCTCATGATGCACATAACCTGACTTGTTTGTCCTTCTGTCTGTTTTTTTCTTCTTATGCACATGGTGTAACGCAAAATTTGTAATAACAAAAATATAATGTTAAAAAAATATTTCACATTACTTTTCTATTGAAGATAAAATGGGGTCTATTATCAAGTTCATCTTTGGATCATTCGCACTATTCATTGCATTCATTGCTATTGGTTTGGGTTATTTGAAAACTGATGACACTGTTCGACAAAAACGTACGTATAATCAAAAATATGCCTCATGACTAATTACATAGAATAAGAATTCAATTTATAAGATTTTCTGTTAATTCAATAATATCTATATTTGTTAATTCTAGTTTTTGCCACAGTTTTAAATACATGTTCTAACGAAAACGATACGGCAATTATGAATCTTCGATGCAATGAAGTTCTTAGTCATTCGCGTATTCACGGTCATGTATTAGAAATTGGTACGGGCACTGGAATCAATTTTGCATGTTTACATAACAATACACGTATTATTGATTATACTGGCATCGAACCGAATTACCACATGCATTATTATGCAAATGCAGCTACAGACCGATGGAATATTCCGTTTAAAGTGCGCTTGTCGACTAATTCAGCGACCAATATGACTGACATCGAATCGAATAGTATCGATACGATCATAATGACATTTGTTCTATGTAGTATACCCGACCCATTACCTAAACAATTGCTTATTGAAGCACATCGTGTTTTGAGATCTGGCGGAGAATTACATCTATTGGAACATGTTCTATCCGATCCAAATGTAAAACCAATAACAAATTCATTTCAAAAATTAATTGAACCTATATGGACTATAGTTGGTGATGGTTGTCGCTTTATACCAACTGGAAACTATTTAGATGAGATGAAAACAGTCTATTCCAAAGTCAACTATGAAAATATCGAAATACCCGTTCCATTGCTTTTAATTAAAGACGCTATCAAAGGTGTACTTATCAAATGAACCATTTTAATCGTTCGATGTTTCGCTATTATTATTTTTGTGTCATTCTTTTCCATAAATCGAAAAAAGTCTGTTTGTTCGTATATTTAGATTTCTTGAAAATGATAAATGCATCTTGAGTATTGAGGGCGAGTGTGGTATGGGTTTAGAATGGATTTAACATCCACACCCTATACGGGCGTCGAATATTCATCTGATAATGATTTGAAATTATTGTTCATTGGTCCCACAAAATGCGTCACCGTCGCAAGCTCCTTCTGATGATATAACAATATTCCCTATCTATTGTGTAGTTCCTCTGCCAATCTATCTTATACCCACATCCACACCCATCCTCAAGATCTAACATCTTTCGATATTTTCAATACTCAATTTCGTCTTTTCACTTTACACAAACGTACTTTTTCTGTTTCTGTATGAAATCGAAAGTTAATGATTACTTTCGCGCAGAGGACAATGGCACGTTTTTTTTCACTATCATTGTTTGTATGAAAAATAAATCCAATTTCTGTTTGAAGAGAAGAACAGCGCATTGACATTTTAATTGCTTTCTACTGTATAATCAGCATTCGGATGAATGAAAGTGAAAACAAACTGCATTGCAAGTAACACTCAGCTTGCTAAATGCTTTTAATGGAAGAGCACATGAATCAGTAACACTCTACACAATCAAATATTTTTTGTGCGCAATTCCTTCAGTGGCTCGATATTCAAAAAAATACTGCTATTTGGTACTCTTTAAATATGTTTTAGTTGATAGTAAAGACCATTTTTCTCTTTCTAGTTGTCGCAGGAATGTAAATGACGGAATTGTTAGATCAGCTGTATAATTTTGTTTCATACAGTGACGTGTATTTATATCATATCTAATTTTCAAATAATATTGCCAATTTGTTATCACTCTTCGGATTCAAAATACAAAATGATGTACTTCTCCCTTTCAATCTAGATTTTCTTTTGAAACGTTGTAGTTTTCGATTATTATGACATTTATTTATTTACTATTCTGATTTTATCTAAAAAAATAATGATAATGTAATAATCGATGTAAAGATTTTTATTTTCAATATGTAGAAAATAAAAATAAATATGAATTGATAGCACTATTATTGATTTCAAAATAAATGGCTTCTGATATCGTATAATGCCCGAAATTGATGCACATAGGTACTTCGACAAGGTTTACAATCTGTGGTACACCAGAACATAAAATAAGTATATCACTAACGCTGACATACGAACCCACGGCTTCAAGAGGGTCATGTTTTTCTCTTTTCTCTCATATGTATAACTTATTTTCCTTTCTTTCCTTCTACTCTCTTATGTAAAAAGCCAAGATCTTCTTCACACAAAAAACGTTCGAAAGAAAAATAAAAGAGAAAGTGAGAAATTTTTTTCTCTCTTTGAGCGAAGTCATGCATTCATTTGCTGTTTTTTTTCGCAATCGAAAACACCTACTACAACAAGCTGAAGTGGCAAACAAAATGTTAAGGTAACGTTTGATTTTTAGCTTTCGTTGCGAAAGAGCACATGACTAACATACAAACAGTGATTTCAACAGCTCTTAAAAGGCAGAGCAAATTTGCGTTGCTAATGTATTTTTTAGTTTAGCGATTTGAGTTTATATACTATTCAATGCAGAATTGTATAGGTTACATTTTGATGAAAAGTATTTTTTGAAAATCATCAGGTGAAATTAATCAATATTAAGTAATAGGTAAAGAGAATTTTTATTTGAATTTCAACCTTTTAAGTACATGATCAAGAAGAGAAGAGCGTTGATATCTGAATGAAATAGTGCGTATAATGAGAACTCGAATGAATAAATTTAAAAGTATATTATCATCGCAGATTTGTACGCTATTTTGAAAGCTATTGAAATCACTATTTGTATGTCAGTAGTAAGTGCTCTTTCATGAAAAAAAGCTGAAAAACAAAAAGTGCCTTAAAATTTTGCCTGCTGGTTTATGAGTTAAAAATATTGGAATTTCTTATGTCTTTGATAATGTATTTCAGGAATATGGCTCTCTAGTTAAGAACAAAGGGAGTATACGAAGGATACATGGGAAGTCCAGAGTAGACATACTTCAGTTCCAGTTGAGAGTATGGGTGTCGAAGCAGGCATTGTTTTCACCTTGGATTTAAGTGCGGGCTTGCCCTCATCAATCTTGAAGAAAAATAAAGTTTCTAATAGAGCGAATATCTTTTTTCAGACAATTTCGGCGATCATACGTTTGAAGCAGACTTCATACAGAAACATCGTTCAACAGCATAAACAAAACATTTATTGTGAAACATTGCTTCAAAGGTCGTCTTTATTTGTCTTATTGGAATAAAATACCTTACAATGATAAAATCGCTAGCTTTTCTTATCCTTTTAAACTACTTATTCTACTTGTGTGATTGCGGAACACTGCCAACTTCACAAGCAACTGAACAAACACTGATAACAGGCTTGTTAAGTACATATAATAAAATTATAAGACCAAATACTACAGTATCTGTTGATATCACTGCTGCACTACAACAAATTGTGGCTATAGATGAAAAACAACAAACAATGACAACAAGTTTATTTATTTCACAAACTTGGGTGGATAGTCGATTATCATGGACACCTAGTTCAAACGGTAATATCGATGTAGTTATGCTGCCAGTTACAAGTTTATGGATACCAGATACAATGATATTGAATTCAGCAGATTCAAGTGGTTATCTCACAGTGAGTACTTATAGTTTGGCATCCGTTGAAAGCTCCGGTCAGGTATATATGATATTACCCGCATTAACGGTAAAAACAAGATGTAATTTTAATGTTCAATATTTTCCATTCGATAAACAAGTATGCAGCATCAGTTTAACATCATGGAGTCAAGGATCTAGTAGACTAGTATATACAGAAAATAGTACTGCAGTAATTGATATTAGTGGATATACCGAACATCCTTTATGGAAACTGAATGGAACAGATATGATTGTAGTTCGATCAGAAGATAGATCACCATTTGAAGATAGCTTTGTTGACGTCATAACAATACAATTATATTTACAAAGAAAACCATTGTATTTTATCATGAATGGTATATTTGCATGTTGGATATTAAATTGTGTTACTTTGCTATCATACACATTACCCTTTGGATCGCAAATTGGTCTATGTAAGAATATTCTTGTCCTTTCTTGAATACAAAATAGAACTTAATGTATTTGTATTTTAGGTATGACATGTTTTATGACCTATTCTGTTTATTCATTGAATTTTTCCAATCTATTTCCACAACAGTCTCAATATTTAATGATGATTACATTATACTTTTTATTATCAATATGTTGGACATTAATATCAATGATATGGTTTGTCATATGTAATCACTTTATATCAAAAGCTGAAATGCCAAAGTTTCTTTATATTTTTGCTGGACTATTGCAAAAAAAAGTATTTCTTTTTTGCTTTCCACCGCCCAAAGATGACAAGAAAAAAGATGTTATTGTTAATAATGATGAACTTAAAAAATCTGGAGATAAAGAAAGTATACAAGCAACAATCATTCAAGAAAAAAAATGTGCATCTTGCCAGAAACTATTACCTTCTTGTTTTCGACGGAATGCTAAAGTTGCAAACATTGAAAAAAAAGAAGAGCCTTCTCCCGTTAAAGATGATGCACTAACGAAAACAAATAACAGTTACTTTTCGTTACTCGACAAACCAGAAGTTATAGCTACGGACAAAACAGACGAGAAACCGAAGCCAAAATGCGACTTTTGCGACAGATGCGAAACATGCCAAGCTGATTTCGATAAAGATAAAGCGAAAGGCAAAAATAAAAAAGACATTGAAGCTAGATGCAGTGCCTTAAATTATTTTGTCTTTGTTATTTTAGTATTGTTTATGGTTATTTCTGAATTATCAGTATGGGTCTTAATGGCAAATAATTGACTTTAACTTTTTTTTCCTTGACTAAAATATTTTTCTCAATTATTATTAAAATAAAAAACAAAATAATTTCACACTATAAGAATAATAAAATGTGTTTTGATTATTGCTTGAGTGAGAATGAGAAAATCAAACAGTAAAAAGTTGAACATGAACAACTTTCAGAAAATTGCTTACGTTCTGTTGTTTTCATTTTGATTTCTTTTGCTTCGATTTATCGTTCATTGTTAAATATTCTCACCTTCAAGCTTCTAATTGAATCAGAGTCAAATACAGAATTACAATAGTATCTATTGATCTTTCTAATCTTCTATACTTATATCAAGACGAAATCATTCACCTTCTTCAAAAAAATGTTTATTTTGTTTTCTTTTAGTCTTTCATTCAGCCCTCTTAACTTCTGTTCACCAGGATAGATCTTAGTAGACCGCTATTTTTTGGTCGATGATCCCCTTCAAAAATTACACCATTCGATGCAGAATCAAATTCTGCATCCAACACAACCAACTAGAAATTCAGCATGCATTCAGGAGCGAATGTCAGAAACGAAAATTAGAATCCGCTGCTAACTTTCATTAAGTGAAATAACAGATAAAAACATATTAATGTGTCGATTATGTTTCTTCATGAGTCGATACAAGCGTGTTGACGCATTTTTTTTGTGCTTGAATAGCAAGAGGAAAAAAAGAGAAAATGAAAAACAAAATCAATGAAGCGATCCAAATCAAACGATTTTATATTATGACTGCGCACATAGGTGTGTTATAATACGTATCATTTGATACATTACTGACAAGAAAACATGAGCGACGAACAACCATTATTAAACAAATCAAAACATTTTTCTGTTCATTATGATGATAATGCTAAAAGTACTAAAAATCTAGCAAGTGATACGTATGATTTAATAATTTACTTACCTTGAAAAACAAATATGAAATAAAATCTTTTATTTTTTTATAGTCTTTATGATTGGCGACGATGTTTTCGTGGTCCGAAGAGTGTCGACGAGGATTATAAGAAATTAGACAATGAAGATGAAGATGGAACATATCATCGCAAGGAGACATCAGTTAATATTTTAGAATTAGTAAGTATATATAAAATGAAATACATACTTTGCCCTTAAAATATAATTTATTTGATTTTATTCTAGTTTCGATTTGCGGATGGGATCGATTATATTCTCATGACTATCTGTGTGATTCTTATACTTATACACACATCATGCTTTCTAGTAAGTCTGGTCCTTTTTGGTCGAGTTACTGGGATGTTTGCTACTCATTCATTTACTGTTAGTTGCGAACAACAATATATAGATACACTTGGATTTAATCAAAACCAAAGTGGATGTCCTTTAGGTATTACTCTCAATTCTCAGAATTATGATCGGTTTTTTAAGTAATAAATTAATACCTGGTATTTATTGTTATGTATCTTCCTATATTAGATTGTGTCATCCGCAATCAACCACAAGTCTAACACCAATAATTGCTCTATCAGATTCTGAATTTCGAGCAAATGTTATGCATATTATTAAGATGTTATTTCGTAAGTCAAACCAATTTCTTAGATTTAATTAAAATATAATCATGAAATTCATATCGTTTTTATTTTCTATATAAATATAGTTGTCGGTATTATTGCATTTCTATGTAGTTCACTTGAAAATTTTATATGGACGATTTCTGTTAAGCGACAAACATCTCGTATGAGTGTTTTACTTTTTCGATCACTTATTCAACGTGTAAGTTATACATATGTATATTGTTTCATTTATTCACTAGGTAGCTTTTTTTTTCAGAATGTGAGCTATTTGGATATGAATCCAGCTAGTCAATTTAATTCAAAATTATTTGCGTAAGCCATTGCTATTTATATCATATCGAGTTATTTTATATAATAAAATAATTTCTTATATAGTAATATTGATAAGATCGAAATGGGTATTAGTTTTGAATTTTTGGCATTAGCTGCAATTATATTTGTTATGATTGGTAGTGTCATCACATCTTTTATAGTTAACTGGAAATTAACTCTGATTTTATTTTGTCTTAATCCATTTGTTGTTTGCGCCTCATTAATATTTTCTAGGGTATGAATTATGATATAATTGTTATAATTTTTCTAAGTTATTATTATAGCTTATGGCTAGTGAAGCAATCAATGAATTAAGAACATATTCAAAAGCTGGACAAATCGTTCAAGAAGTGTTTAGTTCATTACGAACGGTTCATTCACTCAATGGAAGTAAATTTGAACAAAAACGGTACGTGTATATATATATATGGAACTTATTTATAAATTTGCTATTGTATTTAGATACGAAAAAGAATTGAGTCCAACTCGTTGGAGTAATATACGCAAAGGTGCTTTACTTGGTGTATTTGTTGGTTGGTTATCTCTTGTGAATTATATAGTTTATGCAGTTGGTTTCATTTTTGGTTCTCTACTTATGTCTTATGGTGGATATAAGCATAATATATCTATTAGTGATATTCTTGTTGTAAGTAATTTTGAAAAATGAATGAGGATTTTATTTTTTATTTATTTTTAGTGTGTTTCTATATCTGCACAATGTATAAGTTTTTTTAGCAAGACTGGCCCATTTTTCCAATCAGTTTCAGAAGCTCAAGGTGCAGCTGGACCTGTATTTCGACTTATTGATGAGGTAGATTTGAGTAATGACAAGTTTCAACTTAAACACTAAGGATTTTTATGTTACAGGAACAAGATCCACAAATAAATGAATTAGATCTAATGAAAGATACTTCATTAACTCCAGATTCGACTATAATTGGTGATGTTGCATTTGAGAATGTCAGCTTTATGTATCCATCTCGAGACACAACACCCGTTTTACGTAATATCAATCTAGTTGCACGTGCCAATGAAACAACGGCTCTTGTTGGTTCAAGTGGTTGTGGTAAATCATTTCTAATATTTGACAAAAAAACATGTTTTATCATACGCTGAATATTATTAGGAAAAAGTACATGTATATCACTTCTTCTTCGTTACTATGAACCTTTATTAGGTCGAGTTACGATTAATGGTAGACCAATTACAGATTTTAATATCAAACAATTTCGACAAAATATTGGAATTGTTAGTCAAGAACCTGTATATTTCTTTGTTTTACGTTTAATTATTTTTTTAATTTTTCTCTTGTGCTAGATATTGTTTGGAATGAATATTTATGAAAATATTCGTCTTGGTAAATTAAATGCAACACGTGCTGAAATTGAAGAAGCAGCACAACAAGCTAATGCACATAATTTCATTATGAAATTACCAAATGTTTGTGTTTAATTATTTCTTTATATATATATATATATGAATTATTATTTATATTTATAGAAATATGAAACACTTGTTGGTGAACGTGGTGTGCAATTGAGTGGTGGTGAAAAACAACGTATTGCATTAGCACGTGCACTTGTTAAACAACCCAGCATTCTTTTGTTAGATGAAGCAACAAGTGCGCTTGATAATGTTAGTGAAAAAATTGTGCAAGAAGCACTTGATCGAGCATGTAAAAGTAAGAATTATTTAATTACTATTGATTTAGAGTCCTGCACGGGTGCACTTTCTGGTACCCGAAATTGAACCGCCAATTTTTTTAACGCCCGGGTCCGACCCGACCCGGATCCGAACCGGTCTACTCAGTTATTTTTCAAACTATGATGAAATTTCTAAACTTTTATTTAATTCAATAAATATAATATGTTTAGTTTCGTTCATAAGTAACAAAGTTAAATATATATTATGTAAAATTACGTAAAAAAACCAGTGAATCAGGAGTTAGCTGAGACATGTGAGTATTGCTCTTATCTCACATTCACCCACACCCACACCCACCCATTGTGACTTCTTTTTTCATATTAGTAATAGTATCAGAATAAAATGTTAGAAATTTGGTGATGTCACTAGTTATCGGTTCGGGTCCGGGTATACACTCCGACCCGAACCGAATTTTTTTACGCCCGATGCCCGAACCGACCCGGCGAATTTTACCCGGTACCCAGGACCGGGTCGGGTTGGGTACCCGTCCGGTTTCCAGGACACTACTATTGATTATATTATTATTATTAAACTATAGATCGCACAACTATCATTGTCGCTCATCGTTTAACTACTATTCAAAATGCTGATAAAATATATGTATTAGATAAAGGAAATGTTATTGAAGAAGGTACACATGAAACATTAATGACAAAAGAAAATGGTAGATATCGAACATTAGTTAAAAGTCAACAATCAGAAGGTGTAATTAATGATACTGATCAAATATCTATGGCAACCGCAGTTGCTGAAGATGAAAAACAAAGGAGTATGTGTCATCCTCAAGATTTAATTTTGATTTATTTTTTTGTATAGTGGAACGTGTTCGTGCATTTAGTGAAGTTGAAGCTATTGATATCAAGAGAGTAAGTATTAAATATATGATCATTATTAAAAATTTATTTTTTTGTAGAAACGTTCAATATCATTAGATAAACGATCTTCTTTTATCAGATTAATGTTCATAAATAAAACTGAATGGATCAATATTGTAATCGGTTGTATAGCATGTATAATAGGAGCATTATGTCTACCAGTGTTCGCTATTCTACTTGCGAAAATAATCAATGTAACTAATTTATTTATTATGAAAAGAAAATATATATATATATATCGATTTATATAGGCATTTAAAGATTGTAATAATGTTAATTCACATCGTCAAGTGTTTATCTCATGTATTTTCTTTATATTATTGGGTCTTTTTATATTGATGATTCGTTTCGTTCAAGTAAAAATCTTCCTCATATATTTTCCTTGTTACATTTGTCTCTATAGTATACGGCTTTTGCTATATCAGGATCGAAATTAACACAACGTATTCGTGCAAAAGCATTTAAATGTCTTCTTCGTCAAGAGGTTGCTTATTTTGATCGACTTGAAAATACTTCTGGTGCTATTAGTTCTCGTCTGTCCACTGAAGCCGCAACTATTCAAGAGTTAACTGGAACAAGATTAGGTATTTTATGTGAAGCTTTAGCATTAGCTTTATTTGGTTTATTATTTGGTGTTATCTTCAATCCACAATTAACAATGGTTGTCTTTCCTTTTTTTCTTTTTCCAAGTCTTATTGCTATTGCTAAAATACAATTGAGTAGATGGTTAAGAAGAACACTCAATCTTATTATTGAACGATCAAGCACAGTAAATTTCTAGTTTTCATATAATACATTCTAACATTTTGTTTTCTTTAGCTTTCTGTTGAAGTTCTTCATAATATACGTACAGTGAAACAATTATCAATAGAAGATGAAGTTTTTCGACGATATTCTCAAGATCGATCTGACATAATGACGTTAGCTTTACAAATTCTATTTATCTAAATAATTTTTTTTCTTTATATAGGCTATTTTGGCAACCTACAATATTGTCTGCAGCAATGTTTGGCTTATTTTCGGCAATAGATCCATTAATTATAGCTTGTTTATATTGGCGTGCACTTGTTCTAGTTGAACATCATCAACTAGATCCAAACAAAATTATAATGTAATTAAAACGATAATTTAATTATATATGATCTTTTTATTTCTTTAGAGTTTTTGCATTTGCTACGTTTGCATTAAAATCACTAAAAATTGTTGGAATGCTGTAAGAATGTTAGGTTTTTATTTTTGTTTTATATTTTATTACTTCGATTCAAGTGCTGAACGTCTTGGATTTTCAATGTCTGCTGCTGATACGTTCTTTGAATTATTTGATCGAACACCAGAGATTGACAATATATCTACTAAAGGAAAAGAATTGGTATGAAAATAAAGATTTTTATTTGATATAGTTTTATTTTGAATTATCTAGTCTAACTTTCGTGGTGATATTGAATTCGAAGAAGTTAAATTTGTCTATCCAACTCGACCAACAACTCTTGTTCTTAATAAACTTCGATTATCGGCTAAATCAGGTAAATCAAAGAGATTTCTATCAATTTGTGATTTTCTTTATTTATATTCTCTTATAAGGTCAACGTGTGGCACTTGTTGGTAGCTCGGGATGTGGAAAATCAACAACTATTCAATTGTTAGAACGATTCTATGATTCTTCACAAGGTCGAGTGGTTAGTATACTTATTCTAATATGTATATATCATTAATAAATGTACAATTAGTTACTTGATGGTGTTGATATTCGAGAATTAAATCTTCAATGGCTTCGTTCACGTATTGGTCTTGTTAGTCAAGAACCAATTTTATTTGATTTAACAATTGCTGAAAATATAACATATGGATTAGAAAATATTCCAATGTCAGAGATTATTGATGCAGCAATTAAAGCTAATATTCATCAGTTTATTAATCAATTGCCTCAGGTAAAATTAATATTTAATTAATCTATATTTTCTGTATGATATTTTAAAGGCTTATGATACCAGAGTAGGAATGAAAGGTAGTTTTCTATCGGGTGGTGAAAAACAACGTATTGCTATTGCTCGAGTTCTTCTTCGTCGACCGAAAATCTTGTTACTAGATGAAGCTACAAGTGCTATGGATTCGTACAATGAACAAGTCAATTTTATTTTGTTTTAAAAAAGCTAATATGTATTTATTTTTCTCGATTATAGATTGTTCAACAAGCACTTGAACAAGCTGAAATAGAAGATCCTACTCGAACATCACTTATTATTGCACATCGTTTATCGACTATTCGTTCATGTGATTTAATTTGTGTATTTGAAAGAGGACGTATTGTAGAAAGCGGCACACATACAGATTTAGTACGGCAACGTGGAATTTACTATGGTCTATTGTCTCAAACTAGTGCATAATAATAATTACTAAAAGATATTTAAAATGGTTACAAAACTCTATTAACCCTTCTAATACTGTGCATGGACACTTGCGTCCATATGTGTGTAAAATGCTTAATTTTCGATGAAAAACTAAACTAATCGATATCAGATTGAGGGTGTGGGTGTCAGTGTGATTATTTCTTTCTCACTCACACCCACACCCTCAATATATTAAAAATAAGGATATTTTTCAATTTGGAAAAAAAATTTCTTTGTATAAACTTTCCAGCCGCCGCCGCCGCCGCCGCTGCCGTCGACAGGTGAAAAAAATTCGATCGTTTTTAGCCGCTGCCGCCGCCGATCAATTCATAGGTTACACCTCTCCCTATTTATATATAGTTATTATTTGCGAAAAGTAGATATTTAGTCAAAATCCTTCCCTTACGATTATTTTGCTTTTTCAAATATTTTCATGGCTTTTGAACGACGTTTAACTCATCATTATGTTGAAGTTCAGAAAAATCCCCCACCATTATGTTATGCAGAACCAAAAGATCCAAGTAAAGATATGATTCATTGGATTGGTTGGATTGAAGGAGCAGAAGAAACTCCATATACTGGTGGAAAATTTCATTTATCAATTGATTTTTCTTCAGATTTTCCATTTAAACCACCACGTATTAAATTTTTAACACCCATTTATCATCCAAATATTAGTACAGAAGGTATTGTTTGTTTGGATATCCTTGATTCACAATGGTCTGCAGGATTAACTGTTCGTACTCTTCTCATATTATTATCGTCATTATTAAATGATCCTAATTCAGATCATGGACTTAACAATGATGCTCTTCAACTCTACAGAACAGATAAAGAAAAATATAAAGAAACAGCCCAACAATGGACAATTATGTATGCTAAGAACAATAAATAATAAAAACAATTCTATTGATATATTTTTCTTCTTTGTAAATATTTTTGAAATGTAAAAAATTAGTCTTCTGTTTTTTTCGAATGAATTGTATGATGTTATGACTGATATCGAATAATCATAAACCGATGGAAAAATTTCTAAATGCGATGTATCATGTGTTAAAACCATGAGGGTATTGTTTGGGCTAATTTTCGAACCAATGGTCACGAAACTCTTGTATTCGAACAACTGAAATGGTCAGATTTGAGAATAATTAAATTAATCATACGGTTATCATTATCTACTTCATATCTTTGCATCATAAAATACACTCATTAAAAATGGTTATTTTGGTTCTTATCAAACAAAAGTAGTTATCTCTAATTTAATCGAAAAAAATATGTCAACTAACGATAATAATGTTAACTATATAAAAATTAGTTCTTAGTTCAAAATAAAAGATTTCGTATATTTATTTCATTTAAAAAGTTTGTATCAATAGGAAAAACAATTATAAGATTTATAACTATTTTTTATTTCCTACTACTTTATCTCCACTATTATTATATTATTGATAGATAATCTCAATACGTTTTTACGTTGATATCGTCCGTATTTTTTTTTCACAATGTACTCATAAATCATTAAAAAACGATTAAAAATGTGTATCAGAATGAAGTTGACATACACTCTTATACTCAACTAAAATCACAATTGTTTTATATTCCTATTATTCAGTATTTTTATTTTCGATCTTACCAGGAATAATTAAATAAATATACTTCGATATAAAACAAAAAAAAAGATATTAACTAAATAAAAACAGTAATATCAAGTATAGGTCTCGAACTCATAGTACGGTTTATTTTGCGTATCTCTTGCCTTTATCTCAATTGACAGATCGATAATGCATACAGATAGTTATTACGCATTATTTACAAAAAGCAAGTCACATTGAATTATAGATTTTAGTCGAAATGCAAAAAAAACAACGTCAATGGTCCTTTATCTAAAACAAATTTGTATATCGAATATATAAAACGTATTAAACCATGACAAAATACGAAATTATGTAGCGGTATCCAATAGGTGATTACTGTAAATAAGAATGTATAAGACAATAGTATCTACCTCTTTTGCTTTTCGTTAGTTTTTTATGTGATCAGTCATACGATATTATATGTGAAGCAAATATATATGCACAAAGAGGGATTATTTTGAAAATAATTTACAGCCAATAATAATTCGTACGTAAAATATTTCTTATAGATTATTTTATTCGAATCAACGATATAACTAAATGTCAAGTGAAATAACAACAATGGATACTGCTGCTGTAATCGAGATAACGACAGATGAAAATAATGAACAAATTAATTTAGATGAAAACGAAATTACTACTATTTCAAATGTATCCCATCCAGAAAGAAATTCTATTCATGAAAGTATTGGATCAGCAATTAATGATTCTTCAATTATACGGTAGAATTTGTTTTTTTTCTAATAATTAAAATAAAATAACAATATTTTTATTTTTTTCTAGAATAGATCCTGATAAAACATTAACAAAACCTATTATAGCTTGTTTAATATTCGCTCTATATACATGTATAGTAATGGTTATTGCAATTATTATTGTATGTTTAAGTTCTCCAAAACAAAGTAAATTATTATTATTTCTATTAATTTTTATTTGAAATTATATATTTTTAGGTTACACATGTGTACCTACTTTTAAATTAACAGTTGAAGGTGTAGTTGGATATAATTCCCGACCTCGTTCAATTGCTCTGGCAGATTTTAATCAAGACAATAAATTAGATATTGTTGTAGCAAATTCTGATAAAGATAATATTGGAATATTTATTCAAAATTTCAACGGAACATTTCAAACTCAAATAACATATTCAACTAATTTAAAATCTTCTCCATATTCAGTTATTGTTAATGACTTTAATCAAGATAATTTCTTTGATATCGTTATTGCAAATTATGGAAATAATAATATTGGTATATTTCTTGGAGAAAAAAATCTAACATTTCAAAATATGACAACATTTTCAACTGGAAATTTACATCCATTTTATCTTAGTTGTGGAGATTTTAATAATGATAATAAATTAGATATTGTTTCTATTAATTATGGAACAAATAGCATTAGTATTTATTTTGGATTTGGTAATGGAAATTTTTCAAATGAAACAAATTATTTTCTAGGATATGATTCAATTCCGTATTCATTATTTATTGCTGATTTTAATAATGATAAATTCTTAGATTTAGCTATTGCAAATTATGGTACAAATAATATAGCTATTCTTTTTGGAATTGCTGATGGACTATTTTCAACACCGATTATTTATTCGACTTATTATGGATCACAACCATCTTCAATTACTGCTGCTGATTTAAATGATGATAATGTACTTGATTTAATTGTTGCTAATTCAGGTACATTTAATATAGGCATATTTTACGGTTATAAAAATGGAAGTTTTCAACAACAACAAATGTGTATTCTTGATGATATATCTCGTCCACAATTTGCTACTATTGGTGATATGAATAACGATAATCAAGCAGATATTGTTATTTTAGATTCAACTAATGGATATGTACAAGTACTTCCTGGATTTGGCAATGGATCTTTTAATAATTTAACAACATATTATAGTGAAGATGATACTCTTCCATTTGCAGCAGTTATTGGTGATATTAATAATGATAATCAATCAGATATTGTTATTGTTAGTTATGAAGCAAATGTAGTAGTGATTTATACTGGTTATTCAAAATCATATTCTGTTACTAAAAAACAATATTCTGTTGGATATGATTCAAATCCAACATTTGTTGCTTCTGCTGATTTTAATTCTGATCAACATTTAGATATAGTTGTTACTAAGAGTAATATTGATAGTATAGGAATAATGATTGGATATGGAAATGGTAGCTTTTATCCAGAAATATCTTATACATTTGAAAGTCAAAGTTCTCCAACTTGTTTATGTATTGGAGATTTTAATAATGATGGTCGATCGGATTTAGCAGTATCGAATTATGGTACTCATAATATTGGTATACTTCTTGGGATTGGAAATGGAACTTTTACAAATATGACAACATATCCAACTGGTAAT